TGTGTATTTCAGCATTGGAATTAGAAATGAGCTTCTTTGGAAATACTGAAAAGTCACCTACATGTATACACTCAACATGGATGTATGCACCGGTGTTTCCTTCATTCCCTATAAAAACAAACAGATAAATTGATCATATGAAATGAAAAGTTTGAAGAAATGTATTTCTGTTGTCATTTGGGTTGCAGTTGTTTGGCCAACCCATGACTACCTTTTTGGAAGCACTTAGTCCTGGGAAACCTGAAAAAGCGCAGCGGTTGATTTCTCCCAAACACAAACCCAATTGTCAGTTAAATGTACATCCAATAATTAGTGAAGCAGCCAAGCATTTGCGAATAACCCTGTATGAAAAAAGCATTGTTCGTGATTTTTGAATCATTGCAAAAAACTTTGACATTACGACTTTTCCCACTTCTTCAAATTGGCACTTTATATGCTACGCGTAGTTCTCCAATCCGAGATTTCTACTGTACCATTCACAGAGTCGAACATATCAAGTTCCAGAAATCTAATAATAAACCCTAGGACTGAAGCAGCAGGAAAGCAAACTGCACGCTGATGAATTCCCTGGATGTTTTGCCCCATTACATCCTTGTGTCGTGAACGCTCCCGAAGCAATGAGGTTGCACCGTGACGATCAGCAGACTCCTGGACTATTAGATTTTAATTGTCTTCCCGGCTCTGGAAAGCCCTCTTCATTGTGCCATTCACATCCACATTAGATGAAATTTTCCACTGCCTTCCAGGCTTCATTTGGGATCCATTACTGCACTTACGGCTTCGTAATTACATCTCGAGACGGTATTTACCAGGTTTTTTGCCCTGTAATTTCTTCCAACTTCCGAAGGGAAACTCTAAAGCTTCTTTTTCTTTCAGGACTATCAGATGTTGATCACAGATGTTTCAGGCTACACTGTAAATTTTAATTTCTGAGTTGCATCAGTAACTCCAATAACACTGAAAATAAAATCCCATTAAAAATGACATTTGTAAATGGATAAAAGGATACTGCTTTTAAATGTTGACAGATGTTGAATCCAATTTTATTTTTAAAAGATTTTGTAAAATGCTTCATGTAGGCATTATCCATTTTATGAAAAAAAATTCAAAAGAAATCATTTAGAAATGCAGTTCATCATAACGAATGTTTCGCAGTCTGCTATTTTGAAGCCATTTTAGTAATAGATTTACATGCAGGGTATATTCTACTGTTAAGGCTTTCTGGGAACCATCCATTGGGAGTCGATTAGGAGATGACAGAATCATTACGAGGATTTGTGAAGCTTTTTCTGAATCATTGACAGTTGACATGCACAATACCAAAGTAATAGTGAGGTTGCCATAATACCCTGAGGTAATTCTTTTCAAACTTCTTGTGGCTTAATTGTTTCAGCCAGCAGAATGGCAGAAATATTGAGGAAAACTTGAGATCAGATTTCAGCCTGCTGTGTCTTTGTGACAGTGTTAACCCATTCATCAAAATAACTGTTGTGTTGGAATGAGTTTTTAAATTTGAAGAGAATGACTGAACAAGAAATGCATTTGGACAAACTGCCATTCAACATTCCAATTCGAAAACTTTATTTCATTTTTGGCATTTTGAGGATTCCCCTAAAATTTCAGAAGGCTGCTCAGCTTGGTAATCCTTCAATAAGTTTGTGAACTTTGCCTTTAAATTGCAATAATATGGTACATGTGCATTCATGCATGTACACGTAGTTATGCATTTGCCCATTGTAATGGTGGCACTGCACACAATTCTCAACCCAAACTGTCAGATGTATACAGGATTTTCTGGTTCCCTGAACTTTGTTCCCAGTACATGTATTTGTATCAAGTGGACAACAGAGGGCAGTGTTTAAAGTGACTGGTCTGACTTGGACAAATTTCCCCTGTCTAGTTTCTGTCCTGATTGTTTTCATGTGCCAGTGTTCACGCTTTAAGTCTGTGAACATGCCAAGGTAGTTTTCATATATACTTTGTCAACGGCTAAAGTCAACATTGGGGCTCAGAATTAGGCATAGTAGAGGTAATTAAAAGTCTGTATGCACTCATTTGGATAGGTATAGACTAATCCGAATAGACGCCCTAACTGAGGTTCTTCAGCTCGTACATTTGACAAATCATGACACCCTGTTGGTCGAAGAGGCATGCATACCACCTGTCCACGAATGTTGTGCCACCGCAGTAATGGCTTCTAATTCTGGTGGTCGAATTACAATACACTATACATGTAAACGATGTATGTGTTTGATGAACCAAAATGAGGTACAGGTGCATGAGGTACAGGTGCATGAACTGATGAGTATGCTCACAGTGTTAAGTTGCAATGAAATAAACGTATATCGTTGGTGCGGAAACCCCAACAGTCTGTCAGCTTGCAAGTCCTGATTCTCCTCTGTCCCTCACAGCTGCTCTGGCGCCCTCAGATGGTAGCTGTTAACAGTTATCACTGCAATATACCCTTTGAGAGAAGGGGTGACACACATTACAGTTCATTGATTATCAGCCAATCCTGAGTTGTTAAAGATAACAGCAATATTCTGGATTGATGCAACCTCTTAACCAGTGATTTTTCAATACTTTGATCCCCCTTTAAAAAAAGTGTTTCTCATTTCAGGTTTATTGGAAGGAACAAAGTTTATTCCCAGATAAGATGCCACAATTCCCGGCCACTTAGTCATTCCGTAGTGACAACTTAAGTGGCCCTATCTCCATCTGCCATCTCTGTATTTTCTTTGCATAGTAATCATATAGCTGCCGGCTCGGGCAATGCCAGATAACCTCCGACCTATTGGCTTTCTACTGTGTATGTGCGTGTGAAACGCCATATTTTTAGCTATTGTGCGTTTATCAAGCGAGGGCGCTGTGGACTGGCATCAGCTGGTGGTGTTTCCGTGAGAAGTGTGTGTTCGGAGAAGGGTTCACACCGGGGCCATCAGTCTGACAGAAGAGCAATTTTTTCTCTCGACTTGCTCATACCATATTATATTAAACCATATTCTTGCCATATGGATTTCAATAAAGGCACAAGCAGTGTATCAAATGGAACTCTTGACACTACGAACATTTAACAAAAGAAACACAGTGCACTAACACTGAACATCCATTGTCATCACACCGTACTTCTTTTGTTAGATGTTTGTAGTGTAATATCAAGAAAATGTTTTTAAAAAGCAGAATACCCTCATATACATGTACCAACCAGCAAGGTGTTCATATGTACTGTAGTTTAATATATTTGCCCCCATACACCACACCTGTGAGTGAAAATAACAACGTTCTCCTTCCCAGTGCCACCCTCTGCCATCTCCAGACAATTCACATTTTAGACTTTTGTTGACGCTTTTGGTTGCACTTAATGGATTTATCCTTCTTACCAAATACATGTACAGTTATTCAGTCTCAGGCTACAGCCCTTGTAGGAGATGGTCACAAATGCAGACAAAGTTACCTAAATTCCTTGGCAATTTCAGACCTAAGTTATAGACATTGTATTCTCTGAGTACATGTGGGCCATACAAAGCTTTTCGTTCAATTGACAAAGTAAATTTGATAATATTTTGCTCCCCAAACTTACATGTGCCTACATGTAAAGCACATACTGGGTTAGGGGGTTCCGATCATTTCCCTCATCTTTTCCCCCCAACAGTTGTCGACAGTGCATCAAAATTGAACTTAAAAAAATTAGGGTGCCATTAAATCGCTTAAAATGATATTTTTGCCCCAAATCACCAATTTGCAAAAGTGCAGTGAGTTGAGGCTTTGCTCTATTATAAATAAATATTGTGCCAAGTCCCAAGAGCTTCTTATGTATTCAGAAAGGTGTTGATGATAATAGAGACACCTGTGCACACACCACAGGCTGGATCACAGTCCGTTTACTATGTGGAGGGCAGGTTCCGTGCTGAAGACGGGGGCCTTTGTCCACCTCTAATCATACCGCAGTGTTTAAACGGTAATTACGGACCCTCTCAGACTTTGTACAGTGTGACAAGGGTGGGTGTCAAACATGTCATTAATTGTTGAGTTATTTATGAAACATGGCAAAGAGAGAAGTAAAAGGGGCATTGCCTTTTTTTTCTTACTTTTTCCCCCACTTGGGTAAATGTTATCAGATCACATTGACTGTAATTTTTTGTGTGGTTGCACTGCAGGAGGGAAATAAATGTGTATTATCTGACTAATCGCTATGTTGGGTTTAATGGGTCGTTCAGTGCCTTTTTAGATCCTGAATACATGTTGACTTGGAGGTGTGAAATATGTCATTAATTGTTGACTCAAGATCATATCGTATTTTTTTCAGTTTGGGTTATTTCTTTCTTTCTGTTGGGGAATAAAGAGTCAGGAAGAGGCAGATAGGACACAATTGATTGACCTGAGGTTACTAATCGAGCTGGCTTTGATAAGGTTTAGATGCAAGGGAGAGGACTGGTTATAGATCATTTTGTTGGGTAGTGTAGCTTGTTTTGTTTACATAATTTATTTCATGCCAGCGTGACAGGCCCCAGCCCCCAGCCCCAACTGGTTCCAAAACAGATTTGTCAATGTGAAAGGAAGTGAAAGGAAAACCCCTATTGTGTTTGTAATGTTTTTGTCCATGGAGACATGTTCATTTTTATATTTTGGTTTACTTTTGTCGTGGCTGGAAAGTAGAAGTACAGTTGCGCCAGGAGGTCTTAGGGAAGATACATATACATGTATCTTGTTTAGCTTTGTAAAATTAAGATTTTATAAAGGATTTTTGAAGCAGAAACCTCGAGTACTTGTATCGGAACCTCGCATGAAATTGCACATTATAATGTCCTACAAACTGCTACCTGCATGTACAAATTTGGTGATAGGACTTAGGGATGACACTGAGGAAATCTTCACCACCCCTAATAGTGGCCACATGGTTTTAGAATCATGATTAATGGGGTGTTCGAGGTTGATATGGCAAGCCTGGCCTCATGGTTTATTTTAACCTTTTTTTCTCAATTTTTCCCTTTGATTTCCAGGCACTTGGTAATTTGTACTTTGTTCATGAGTCTCTACAGAATGTACAGCTGTATGACTTCAAAAGTAAGTGGAAAGTGGCTTAGTTAAAGTTGAGTGTGGCATGTATCCTTTCAAATTTAACAAGGCAATGGAAAACTATAAAAAGTTTTGATTGATCAAATTCTCTCTTGTTTTCCCCTTCTCTTTACACAGCATGCAAGTTCAACACAATTCAGGGCAAGCAGTTTGTAAATTTGATAAACAAAAAGACAATATATGAGAAAGCCAAGTTCCCTCAGGACTTCTTCCCAGGGGTAAGCAACAGACAGACAGATAGACAGCCCGACAGATAGACAGATATTTCATTTTCATGAACTGTAGATGCACAAAAATGACTTTTAATGCAGGCAAAGTAACGATCAGGTTCTTTTCTGCCATGAAGACATTCAACTCTGCACTCTTGTGAAAATTTGCTGAAACATTGTCATTTGGCAACCGAGGGCTTATGCTGCCCATTTTGGTCATGTGACTTTCCTCAAGTCCATAATATCCCCTCCCTAAAGTATGCTGCAGACTTTTGAACTCACCAATGAAAATTTGACAGTGTACATTGCAAGAATTACTGTGTGGATTTCCCCTCCCTTGATGAATACATGTGTAACTTGCATCAGTCAGTGTGTTTATTACCGGTAGTTGTTGTTAAGTTTTGCCCTGCTCACTTTGCCTCCTTAGAGGGCTTTTGGTTTAGCTACACCTTGTGGTAAGAGAATACACTCGGTACTGAAAGCCTTATTGGACCTTTTGTTCATGTTTTTGTTGCAGACAGTCTGGTCAAGAAAGGGTTTCCTCAGAACGAGATGGAATGTAGAAAACAGGCGAGCACAACGACGATTTCTTTTTAATATCAAATACATTTATAAACCTTGTCCTCGGTTTCTCTGAACATTTCAGTTCATTGTGAAAGTGTCATAGCTTTTGATTTTCATTTCAGTGTTTGATTATTGTTTTGTACACTTTCTTCTGTCTGCAGGATATTTGATCTTGCCAATATTCACCTCTTCCATGATGCATCCAACTTGGCAGCTATGGAAACGGTAAATATCTTAATACCGACTTAACCAGCTTCTGAAGAAAAAATTTTCACTTTTATTCAATCCCAATTGCTTCCCAACAAAACTCACCTGAATATCATCCTTTATCATGAAAGCACATCTTCTAGTTTCTGCCAGTTGGAATTCAACCTCTGTGTCTTATGCAAAATCTGGACATGTATCTAAAACCATTTGGACCTGGAGGTTCACTCTTTCGAAAAGCAATCAGAAAAGATAAGTTTCCAGTCCCTAAGGCCTTGAATTCTTGTCTCTCCAGCTCTTCTCAAACTCCCACCACAGTTGTTTAATCAATCTCTGCCTCTTCTGTCCCCAGTTTCCCTCACCGTACAGTAAATACAGGAAAAGAGCACTGGAGCACGTGTTACAGAGGTATTTTGACTTCTTTTATACCATTCTTGATTCTAAATTTTAGTTTCTTTTGTAAAATAGTATTTAAAGGTTGATATCCTGTTCATGGCCGGTTGGCTTCATCAGTGTTGTGCTGAATCCTGGTACTTTGTTAAGTCACTGAAGGTTGTCAACTCAACCAAATGGAACCTTGTTTCCCGTGCTTCAACCGTCCCCAACCCTTGCATCCAAATTTCACCTGTTCACCCCAGCTACCTGACCCAGTGAAGCTTGAGTGCACCGGCTTAGCCTGTTTCAACTCTTCCAGCCCACATGCAGTCTGGCTCAACTCAAATTCGCCCAAATTAACCCAGCTCCAACCTCGATCTCTTCACCTGATCCAAACTGAGCTGAATCCAACTAGCCACACCAGTCCTTAAACTTCTGCCAGTCTTTGTCGTTCCCCTGAAACCTATCACACCCAGAAACGTCATTGTCTTATTTACGTCTCTCTTCTGTTTCTTTTCCATCTTCAGATTCTCCAAGGACAAACATGACAAAGTTCCCCTGTTCCTCTTTGGTGATTTCAACTTCAGGTTGGACTCACAAGGGGTGATCCAGGTATACTTTCGATTCATTTCTTTTTCTTCATGTTGATGTATAGTATTTTTTGAAAGATCAGCTTAAACATGCACAATGTTCATGAATCGGGGTAAAAAAACAAATTAACCATGACAAGCTGCCATTACATGCCATTAAACACATGTTTATTTTAAGCCAACATGATTCTAGGGTGGATTGGATGAGGCACTACTCAAATATTGCCCTTATCTCATCGATAAGCCGCACAACTACCAGCTCTCTACCCCACTTCCTCCACAAGTCTACCCGGCAACCGCAATATCAACGACCCAGAACTCTTGTCAGTGTCCAGGAGGAGAGGTGTCCACTGCCAATAATGCAGATGTTTTCAGTAGCACATGCATACATGTCGTGCACAGACTTAACCTCTGACATTTGGACCTACTGCTGTTGATTACTGGGCCAGGAATCTCTGAAGTTACTTTTGAAAAGTTGCTAAAAATGGGCTAGGAATTTCTGAATTTACTTCAAAAATGAAAATTTTTTGATGTACATGTACTGTGTCATCAAACGTTTTCCGTGATTTAATGAGTGTCAATCGCTTACTTAACTCTGCTTTCTTTGGTCATTGAGAAATCATCCCTCATTACAATTTTTTAAGAGAACAAAAAAGTTTCTCACCCAAAAGCAAGTATTCCATTCTTCACAATACAAACATTCATGCTGGCATTTTAACTAAACTTTTAGAAGTCATGACAATGAATTACATACCAACGGAACGGAATCAGCTCCCGAACGGAACCATTAAAACCTTACCACGTGTATTCATCACCAGTGCGATTTGATCAAAGCCGTGTAATTACAGATCGTTGAGTCATCGTTAATAGGGCAATTGACGACTGGTTATATTGACTTTCTACACCGTGGGGGTGATCCTGTGATGACCCCCAGTAGATTGTGGAAACCAAGTTGTCTTTTGGCGGATCGCTTGATGATGGTTTAATGATTAAGAGACAGAATGTGAAGTGTTGTTTTGGCAAACAAAACATGGCAATGGCTTTATTTGGAAATGTACACCCATGTCTGAAAACTTCTATGAAGATTGTAATGTCATTAATAGGGGTTGTTTCTTTTTTATTAAAAAGTTTTTGATTGATATATTTCAAAATGAAGTGGTAGGATGTTTGTAGTTATCAACAGATTTTTAAAAGCATGTCATCCAATTTTTTTGGTTATTTAGCCATATTTTATCCAATTTGGTGACAATTTAGATGTTACAAACTACTCTGATGAGAGATGCTACTTGCAAAGTGAGAATTGATATGGATTTTCAAGTTGTTCAGTGCAATTTTCAGAAGTACATTTGAGTGCTCTGTTGAGATTGAAGTGGAATAAGTGATCGAGCTTATCAATTCATCCAAATATAAAGTCAAGTTAGTTTCAGTTTTATTGCATAATATTTGAGGTGAATTTTATTGTATTAAGATAGCAATCCAGGATTCAAAGCTGACCAAGTGACCTAGGAGTGCTTAACACTAGGCTAGGCAAGGTTGGATGCTGAAGATTGAGAGAAATCCTTATCTTCCAGTCATAATCCTTGCTATATTTTGCCCTCCAAAGTATTTCCACCTTTTGATATTAGTGGACTAAGAAATTCTCTCAAGTGTCACTTTATATGCCCTTGACCAACTACAATGGTTCACTGTTCTGCCTCTGCCGTGTATTGCAGCATTATTATAGGTCTCATTTGTCCTGTTTTTAGGCTCTTGTTGCCGAGGCAATACCTGAGTACACAAAGGAAGACAAGAACGTGAAGAGAATAACATACAAGGACCGCGATGGCAGTAGTAAGGTGGGAACTTGTGTTTTTTTTCTTTTCGTTAGTAGAGATGAATGGAATTAAGAGAATTTCAGTCTAAGATGTGACTCGAGATAAATCTTTCAGGCTTTGTCCAAATTTTGTTTCAAGAGCTTGATCTAGGTCTTCACTTTTGCAAATACACGGTGGTGGGCACGTGCTTGTATAATTGGCGTAACTGTGGCCATGGGAGCTGATGTGGGATTTGGCACAAGGGTAATTTCAGAAATTAGGGTCCATTTTGGTTCTTGTTCGTGTCACATCTGACATGATTTTGTAAGTTCAGAACACATTTTCTAATTTCCAAGAGTATTAAATTAATGCAAATTACCTACAAAACAAAAATACTAATAGTTGGAAATCAATTACATTGATATTTCCATGTCAAATAACAAAGGTCAGATGTAACATGGACACAAAAATGTCACACTTTTGGACCCCTAATTTCTGGAATTACCAACAAGTAACTTTGTGCCTTTATTAGGATCTTTCAGAAGTAAAGGAGTTGCATCTTTGCCAAAATGACACAAGGACATTTTCTAAGTCTTTCCGTATTTTTTGATAAACTGTCAATATATTTTGGCACTCAAAACAACAGAGCTGCATTTCATTGCAAATTCAAATCTACTTTATTGAATTCTTTGTCAAAGAAATGGCAATTTCTTGAGGCTTATCAGTAATCTTCTATTTCAAAAGTGCAATCCCAAAAGACTGATACTCGATTTTTTTTAGGTTGTCTGTCTTTTTGTTGATGTTGTTGTTTTGTCTTGAAGTTGATGTTTTTATTCTTTGTAGGCAATACTCATCCTTGAGAAAAAGAGATTTGAGATTGATGACCCAGACAAGTTAATCAGAGACAACGCTAAGTGGGTAAGTTTCCACCAAGTAAACCAGCCTTTTGTCTTTGATGCAGTTAACGTAATTAAATGTAATTTATCAAATTCTTGATTTCTTTAACCACTTGCCTCCGGGGTTACCGGTACCGGGTACCTTGCGTTTGTCCGCATGGCTGGGGGTTCCTGAAATCGGACAAAGGAGCTGGGCCTTGTAACAAAAGACCAAGCTGCTGGGAATTGCTGTCTCTTTTCAGTTGGCATTAGCGGTGATAATCCCCCACTGTTTGCGGCACTCAGCACCCGCAGATTATCAGTGGGACAAAAGTACTCCAGCAATGAGCGATACAGTACCGTTGCACGCTAATGTGGCTGTATTTGAAAAGACACCACTGCTTTTCAGCAATGCACTGGGCCAATTTCGGAAACAAAGGAAATTTCGCAACACCGCACAATCTGGGCTCTCTTTACTATGCGGCAGGCCTGGCTGTAATACTCAGGCATCAATGGAGGTTGCCTGTCAGATAAGCCTCCAGACAGTCATTTGTGTGGCTGCAAACGTCCAGTTAATGAAGTTATGAATTTTTGAAGAATTTTGAAAACGAAAAATCTTTAAAATTGCCTTGGAACTCGTCCCACATATACAAATTCCACCCGCCAGGAACTGATTAACCCTAACAGTCCTCAATCCTCCAACAGGTGAACGATTGAGGACTGTTAGGGTTAATAAGACATTAATGGCAATGACAAAGAAGCGTAAATTTGAAACTGAATAATTGAGAAGATCACTAATTTTCTGTATGCAAACATTTTGAAATTTCTTTCAGTAAACAGACTACCGGCTTGAATTACAGACTCTTTATTCCAGTGTTAAAAAGGATAAATTTCAAACCACGCCTTTTTATTTTGATCGCCACCATGACCATCAAGATTTTGACTTATATCCTACCTGTGAGGTGTTCCATCTCATAGAATTTACTATCCCTTTTTTGTTTGACAGCTTCTTCCGCTTGACAAGGAACTTTTGTGTTTCACCAACCAACTCTTCGAGTTTGACAGAGATTTTCCGCCAAGGTAGTTAGATGTTTTCAGAAAAATGGTATTTACCACATTCCATCAAATTAAAATTTAGTTCTGAAGTTATCCCTTCTTGCCTTGTGCTGGGCAAACAGTTACGAGTAATTGTGTCTCTGTTAGTGTTGGTTTAAGTTCAGATTGATGTGCAAGAAACTGCACTGATGGCACGATCAGTATTCTTACTTTACTTCAATAAATTCCTTTTTATCTGCATTCTCAATATTGAAGACTTAATTTATACTATTGAAACTTCTTAGTCATTATCCAAGGCATTAAGATTTCAGACTGATGCCTACCGGCAGCAAGAATATCGCTGGAATCCAACTAACAAGTGTTACACTACAATGAATCAAATCTTGATTTGTATTTCGGCGTAGTTACCCCTACAGTGAAGATGTCACTGATGGCCGGAGTTACATGAAGACGCGAGTCCCCGCATGGTGCGATCGCATCCTGCTGTCAAAGTCAGCCAAGGCCCTCGTCAAAGAGGTAAAAAAAGGGTCATTTATTTCTTATTGCAAACAATGTCTCACACAAAGAGTCCAGTGCAGATCGCTCTGTAATAGTCCGGTACCATTTCATTCTTGCCAAACAGAGACATTTTGTTATGAGCAATATAGATTTGGATGGTATCTGAAATAAATATTGCAACCTGTTTTTTTTGTGTAATTATTTCTTGCTTCAGGACCTCTACAATAAGGCCATGTACAGTGTAATTGGTCAAGACATATGCATGGGTGATCACAAGGTAGGAGCAACTCAATACACTCGATGATTAGGCCTTTAAGTTGCAGCCCAAAATTTGGCAAATCTCTCTCTCGTGTTATGCACTTTTACAGTCTTCGAAAATGCTGAATGGAACCACATTGTGATAATAGACCGATGCATTTGTCCTTCATATGAATGTAATCTTGTAGAGGGACAAGGCACTGTTTGCCACCAGGGTATGAAATCAAATGTTTTGTTCACTATTATTTCGAGTAAAAATGAATAATTTTGTCTTGTCAGCTAAACCATAGGGAACAGCCATACATTTGTAATTGATTTGAAATGAGAGAATCAGTCTGATGTCTCTCTAAAACTGACAAATTTAAATAGTCACATTATTAGAAACCAGACCAAGATGTTCACTACCTTATTAGATCTGTTGTCATATTTCTGAACCTTACACTTTCTCTCCCCACCTGCAGCCAATCTTTTTAAGTTTCCGGCTCGCTCCAACTCAAGGTACGCCAGTAAACCATAAACGTTCCCCTGCTCATAAGTGTTGTGTGGTACAGTAGATCGCCCGTCCCTTTGATGTCTTCCTGTTTTGCTGCACTGTTTTTCTGTTTGCCGTAAGTGGACTGCACAAGTGCATGAGCAAAGTGCACTTTACTTTTTTCTTTTCATTTCTTTGGTAATTGTATTCAGTTTTATTCTTGTTTATCTAACCAAATTGTATTCAGCTTTACATGTTCAACTAACTGATAGTTAACACCGAGTTTCTCGTTTTTATTGGCAGCTTTGCAAGAGTGTAATTTAAGCATCGGCCAATTTGCATTTCCAGTATAAACAGGATCCACCACTCTGAAAGTCACCAAAGTAGCCAAAAATTCTTGAATCAATAAAGTTTTGGTTTTAAAAAAAGTTGTATTGAACTAAAGTTCAAGCAATCGGTGAACCAGCGTAATGGATGTTTTGGTTTCCAGGCCAAGGGATGAGACCATTGCCATTGTAATATCTCTTGGTACGTGTACATGGCCTATAGAGGGTTTGCGTGGCTGCCATCTTGCTTGCCAGTGCATTTGTTCTGTAGGATAGGCATAAAAGGAGGCTTCCCTGTGGAACAAAACAACTGCCCTGCAAGATGGCTACCACCTAAAGCCTTTATTTGAATATTCAGGTTTTTTTTTTTTTTAAAATCAAACAGTGCTTTCCTCGCCACCGCGGTATTCGATATTTAGAAAACTAATAAGTTGGCACATTTGTCACCACTTGGTCATGGTAGTTTGATTTCCTTCCCTTCGGAAATGGTGTTTCTTTGGAAGCAGGTGTTTCGAATGACATGCAATAACAGTGTAGCTTCCTCGGTTTGAGTTCATGACATGACACAGCAGTATTAACAGTGTTAAACCATAGGTTTTGTCTTTATACAAAAAGATAAGAACTTTATTTCAAAGCGGCAGTGCCTTTTAGTTTGTTAGTATACCACATGTACATAAAAGTTTAAACAGTTTTGAGTAGCAGTGGTATAGTGTTTTAATTTTTTGCATCATCAAATGCATTATGTTTACATGTATGATGTCTTCATGTTTTTTCCTTTTTGTGCTTGTCAGTCAGTACTGACAAGCCTGTTAACACTTTTTGCCAAGAGTTTTGTTTTCATTGGGACCCTGACAAAAAGAGTGAGGGGCTTAATCCTGTACATGTACCATATCTCGATGCGAGACAATATTTTGTGCTGTTATCAAGTCTCACCTCAACTGTAGTCACGAACAAGAGGGGACTCAAATATCGGTACTTGTGTGTATGCTGTGCTTACCTGGAATAGTTTGTGATGGACTTGAGATGAGATAACTTGTGGTTGTCTTCTGAGGAGTTGACTAAAATAATGATAGAAATGCTCATAGTTCTTATAATGAGCCAATTAAAGTCTGACTGGTTTAATTAGCTTTTCAAAAATGGCTCTAACCTTTTTTATTCAGTGTACATCAGGAGTTTATTGTTGATGGATGACACTGGATTATTTACCTCAAAATCTAGAGTAATGTATTTTTCCCCGAAATGAAAAATTTGTCAGACATTCAGATGTGCACGGAGTACACGTTTTGTCACTTCCTGTTTGAGTTTCACCATATATCAATCTGTGAAATTTGTCTTTTGTATTGCCTGTGAATGTGCGTTTGTCAGCCTGTCTGTTTGTTTGTGTTCACTCATGCACCATTGGACACTGCATTCTTCTTTTTCTAAGCACAGTGAATGAAGACACCCAGGAAACCTGATTATTGTGCTCTCGTGCCACACAGTCATGTAAGTTTCCACCCTGATCAGTAAAGCTGTAACTGTGCCACTTTTGTTAGATGTCTCAATGCACAAACACCCGACGTTTTAGCACAGATCTACTTGCTCGTTATTGTAAGTGATAGGTTGTCTTAATATTTCGTGTTGCAATTTGTGTTTCCTCAGTTGTCTTAAGCATGGGACAGTGGAAGATTTGGCTTAAATGTTGGGAGAGCTAGTGCTGTCCTCAACTTTGACTGAAATTTTAGCAATAAGGCAAGTCTGTGACGCATGTCAGAAATCTGGAGAAATTGAAAACTGTCCTTAGCCTTTCCTTTCCCAACTCTGCAGTAGACAGTTTCAAAACAAGAGACAGTTTTATTGTTGCCTTAAATTCTAGCGAGACATTGTCTTTATGTGAATGGCGCCGACCGGTGTCAGAGTCCTCCTGTGGTAATAGCAAAATCAGTGATGTTTTGTAGTTGCCATTTAAAGATAACGATTAGCAAATACTTTTTGAGTATCCAAATTGCTTTGATGTAGCCCTTTTTCAACTGAATTAAAAATACTTACCTTTTAATCAAGATCAGAGTTGGAAAGAAATGGAAATGATTCTCTCCTAGTTTGGCGTAAACTGCCCGTACTTTTTTGACAGTACTTCAGAGGGATGTTATGTATCAAAGCAGAAGGCCAGCTAATTTAATTGTGGGTTAATTGTGGCTGAGAAGATATTACCGTCGATCAATTGGGGAGATAAGTGCCGAACAACGAGGCCAAAGTTCTCTTGGTTTGAGTAAGAGACACAGCGGCCATTGGCAGGTTGGGTGATTAAGTCCATGCCGAGCCAGCAGCAAACAAAGGTGGGAAAAAAGGGGAAAAAATGAAATAATAACCCGCCAGTGTGTCAATATGGTAATCATTAAGCAATGATCATATTGTTTGCCCTCCTGGGTTATAATGCCTTCCATTGTCAATCGGGTTTCCCCAGCAACGGGCAGATTGAGAGTCGTTTGATTGTGGATTTTGATCTTTTAATGGCTTAACCAATTGCAGCCAAAATATTTTGATTAGAATTTATACCAAATTTACACAATTCCAACTTTTGTGACCTTTTGTTGGGGGCAACTTGCCAGGCTGTGTGTACAGAGGGTTGCAAAATTTATGTGTGTAATAGTGCAAGGGAAAGAAAATTCAAAATGGAAGAAAAGGCAAAATATGTCACTTTTTAGATTGCAGTTGAATTGGTGCTGTTTCTCAGTAGCTTGCTTTGTTTCAGTAATTTATGCAGGTGGTTGCCCTCCCTCTGTTAAAGAAATACATGTCATTTTGTTTGCTGTTTGCAATATACTTGGCTAGAGAGGGTAAAATTCCTTTACGTATATTGTTTTTATATTAAACACTTTGTTGAATGTGATCGACCTCCAACCCACCAGCATTTAAGCCAATTTAAAACATAGGTTAGGGGATGGTTAAACTGGTTCACCGATTTGCTTACGTTTTTAGTCGTGTCATACACACAAAGAGTAATGGATATCAAGGACAGCCATCTATGGCATATACTGCATGCATTTTCTTTTGATGGAGGGCAACAGGTGCGTCGAGAGGATGACTTCATCAAGCAGTACTAAAGCAATTCTACCTCTCCTCTCTCTTCCACTTCAGTGACTCCATACTACAAAGCAGCTGGAGCGTTGGTGTACTACCCACTCATATACAGGGAGACATCTGTATAACACAGGGCTCCACCCTTGGACCCAAGTTCCTCCTCTTGCAGTCTCAACTGATGCAATATCTCGACCAGCCTCGTTTGGCCTTCTCAGGTTTCAAGACAGAAATTACTTGAAATTATTTGTGTGTGTGTACGGAACAGGAAACGATCTATTTTCCGTGGAACCCTGTGGTACAAACTTAATGGCATTTAGAATGGTTTCTTCAGTTTCTCAGAATATTACAATCATGATAATGGTTTCCCCTGTTTTGTTGCTAAACTGGTATGAGAGAAACGGCTCAGAAAACACATTAATAACTTGTCTGCCCTACTGAGTGCTTGTCATACATTGTATGTCCCATTGGTCACATTGCAAACCTTGCAGTGAATTGACCAAGTGGAGATTAAGAGCTCATAAATATGCATGCCAAAGTAGTCTCGTCACTTTCTGGTACTTTGTACATGTAATTTGTATGTGTTACGGGTTGCATAAAGTAGCCATATGTTGTATGTAGGCCTTGACATAATCCTCACAGACCTAGTAATTTTGAACCTCAAATTTTTAATTTAAAAGTGTTTTTCATTTACTTGCTTTTTTCTAACCCCGAATAATAAGTGTTGCAGTTCTTTTTCCAAGTCCAACCCAAGTATGAATTTACTTTTCTGATTTTTAGAAAATATTCGTGTGATAGTCTTTAAACACTAAGGAGTGTGTGTTCCTTGTGAAAATTGTGCAATCATAGAAGTAGCAGTTTTGTTATGTAGCTATATCTTAAACTCATAGTTATCCCGAACTCGACCCAAAAATTGATCCTTGAGTCTTTTTTTTTTTTTTTTTGTTTGGTCATGAATTTTGAAACTCTTCTCTAAAATAAGGCATGCACAATTTTCTGGTAAAATGTGCTAGTTGAAAAGCTTTCGTGGTAATCTAGGGCCCCTTGTTTGTCGGAAGTATTTGTTATGCAAGTAAAAAGACCAGAGGCTGTGCTTTACACTTGATCTAAAACGGGGAGTGATTTATTTACACTTGCCGTTTAAAGAGTTTGGACGTCATTGTAGGAGCAAAATGCCATCGGAAAAATTGATACAGGTTGTGTTATTGTAGATTTGATTAGGGATGTTTAAATATATTAAGTTTTAACCTACTGCCAGGGTCCTATGATTAATTTATGGTTTGTACGTGAAACAAAAAAATCATGGTCAGTATCAGAACACATACTGGAAAGCCAGCGTTTCCAAGTCGAGGCCTATTTTTTTTCTATTGTGCTAAGGTCATCAAAAAACGTAAAATTTTGTATTGGACAGGCGTATCTGCCAATCGGGTCTTGGTTTTCTGTCCTTTTTTGTCAGTTCAAACTCATTACTTACCAAACCACTGATAGTAATTTATTTTTCAAGATCAGTTTCGAAAGATCTGCCATCAAAAATGGCAGGTATCCGTACGTCTTTGTCCGATAAAAATCATTTTCGGCCGAGAAAAAGCCGACTTAATGACTGGAAGCATGACTACTCGATGAGTTGAAATTAACACTGAGGTACCATAGTGGACCTATTCAAAGGGTGATCAGGATAAAAGGCGTTATTTTTAGGTTGTCAACAGAACAAGAGTGGATAACGTATATACTATTATGCAATGTTTATTATTTTAAATCATCTAAATCGTCATTAAATGCTGTTGTAATGAATGATACACGGGAAAAGTGGTTCGTGATGAAGAGCACGTCTCCCTCATCGAGCATGCACATGGCAATTTTTTTTGTTTGTCTATGGTTCTACCAAGGCCAAAATGTGGATGCGTTCTCAGCGAACTTCTGATATCACCGTACTACCCTAACAAGTTGGCGTGAGGTAATTTTATAGTATACCTAGACTGCTCTGGATTCTACCGTACCCACGTGTATTCCCATTCTTAATTAACAATGGTAATTTCAGAGGTTCATGTACAGTGCACTCCATTATATTGTCAGCAAAACTATAACCTAAATTATTGTATTCGTTATAAATATCTATGTGTATAAAGTCTCGTTAACTAGAGTTTTTATTTAAGTTTGGACAGTTAGGGCCCTAGTGTGGTTTCACAGTGCCTGTTGTTAGCTTGGAACAACGGAAAAAATAATGAGCGGCAAAACGATGTTGCAACTGTTCTGGGATTGACTAACTTTAAACACCGATTTTTAGGCGATTAAATTTATATCAATATGAAAACAGTATAAGCATTCTTAACCTCCGACAAATCTCAAGGAGCTTCAATTTGATGTATAAAGTCTTTATTGTAGCATGTTCACTTCTGTAGATATCTGTGTATTTTGGGATAGAATATTGCAATCCCTTGTATTCTTTTGTGTATTTTTTTTCAATATCATGCCGGCATCATAATTATTAATATTGTGATATCTATACACCATCTTCACATCGTCTAGATATCAGGTTGGTGTTGTCTTGATGCCCTCGAATTATCACCTAGATATTATGGTGTCACCAGTATTTTGACAAAGTATGTCTTGATTTTTTGTTTCTTGTCGGGGTTACTGACATTTTTCGTTACGTATCTTCCCGAATCACAGTTTGTAGCTTACGACCATGAAATGCGAAATGTACAGTTTTGCTTCTTTTTTTACACTGTAAACGCGAATAACAAAGACATTTATTAACTTTAGCAGCTTGTATTATTGTATTCCGTATATCTTAATATACATAACCACTTTAATCAGTATTGATATCCCGTTTTTATTCCTGTTTTAATTATTTTTAGTTAATACCAATTGTTAGACTCGTCCTGTTTGAATCAGCATGTTGTATACACTTATTATCGCTGCCATTTCGAAATGAATACCACACACTTTCTGTCGGTGAACAGGAACTGACACTCTGCCGTCGAAGTGAGGAGTGGCTGCTACACGAAGACTATGTAAATTCACTATGTCTTCATCAAACAAATCAACATTTTTATTGTTTAACTTTTAGAGAAATTGGAAACTCTTCTAAGGGATGTAAGTGTAATGAGGTTCTCTCGTACTGGTCACGGTGTTTATGTACTTTCTCCCTTTAAACTTGTATATGTTATTTTTTTATTCTTAGGTTTTTATCTCTGTTGAAAATACACCCAAAGCAATTTCCTTGGGGGATAAGTCGGCTTCTAAGCTGCGTGAAATGTGCATTCCTGCATATTATTAACCCTCATAATGCTTCCTGTTTTGTTGGCTAGTTTCAGAGTTTCTTTCACCGTCATGTTACACGGGACATTGACGATCAGTGTTATACTTGTCACTTGTGGGATTGCATCTGCACCACGGGAGCCTGAACCCTGACAGTAGTTCACGTGTTCAGAGTTCTGCTCCTGGCTATACGGTCACAACTATTGTTCTGCGTTAAACCTCACCCACCATCTTGCTGGTTGGTGTCGGTTTCAGATGCCTCATTCTAAGCCTGTAACTTTAATCGCGATGCTAGACATTTTATGTAGAATCAATTTGCACCAAATCACTCATGATATTCTATTATTATTTTGGGGGGGGGGTTACGGAGTGATAGACATTGTATATAGTTTCTTTTAAAACTGTCAAAATGCTTACAACTTGTAGATGTTTCCCCAATTCAGTCCAGCCTGCCATTGGCACAGATTATTCAAGATTTTGCACCAATTTTCCAGAGCGTATGCAAAAAGTAGATCTGTTTCCTTCCCGGTCATTAAATTGTAAGTCACATGCTCGCACATATAACCATTTTAGACCTTCTTACAGTAATTTTGAAAGTGTATATGGTGTCAGATGTATATAGTATAGAAAGGATTTTAATGTGCACTCTTATTTTTTATAGTCTCAGATACATGATGTATATTTATTTTTAGCAGTGGTGCGGATCAGAGTAATTAATAAGAAATTTAGTCTCACATTTTGAAGTACCAAGATTAGACTCTTCAATCCCTTGGCATGGATTTTTAAAAATGTATATTCGATTTTTAGGGGGCCCCAGAAATTGTTGGATTTTGATGGGCATTAACGCACACACGTGGCGAGTGTTTAAAAAAAGATTATTGATTTTGATTAAGCTATGTTTTGCTTTATTGGCTTTTTGCGTGAAGAACTGGGGGCGGGGGTACTTTCACCAAACACAAACCTTGCTTGATTGAGACAACACGCTGCGTGTGCGTCTGGCACTGCGTTTTGGCTTTGGCCCGCGCCAGGCACGCGTTGCCTCTGGACTTTGAGTGTCGCTCCAACCTCTCTGCTGGCTACCGTAGAGGGGGTACTTGTGAACGAAGATGATTCACCTGAAATTGCCAGCCCGCTTTCACAATGGAGTTTTCTAATTCTCATGTTATCTGTATTGTATTGTGTTGTAGGTTGTGTATAGCTGTAAATGATTGGACCCAATTGATTCTGTGGATTTTTATTGGTGTCTGTTTTTACGATATTGTATACACAACCGTCAAATTATCGTCTCAATTGTTAATTTTGTTGTTTGAATATAATTAACATCAAGCTATTGTGTTAACAGTGACGCACATGTTGTAGATTTACTTACAAAATCAAAAATATTTATTTCCCAACCAGATGCAGTTTAAGTACATGATAAAATTGTGGCAATACTAATATGACATAATACGTAGACGTAAAGCCTGGTTACAGTGTTTGGTGATTTCGTTGATGGCTTGTGATACGTGGTTTGACGAAGTTGAATTGTTCTGTGGATGGGGAGTTTTGTTTAACCATGGCGTCGGCGAGTTTCGGTTGGCATCAATATCGTTCAGTTTAAAAGTTGATCGTTCTCCCCCTCCCCAGACTACATTTTTATGCGATGGGGGTTAAAAGGGAGGGGGTTTTGGTTGGTTTTTTTTTTGCAGAGTTAAAAACTAGGTGTTTGTAATATTTTGACTCTTGCTATTTAAAGTTGCAAATTTTTAAATTCAAGCAGCGGTTCAGGAATAATTACCTGCGGCAGTTTTTGCCCTAAGACCGAAGTTGTCCCTGTCAGAAATTTCTGTTTAGTACGCATCTCTCTCGCTCTTGCACAGATCAAAAACCAGTGTGTCAGTTTTTTCCGAATGAGAACGCCCCCAGGCAGTAAAGCCTGCAACGATAATTCCGTGTTTCTTTTACAATCACACCCCTCGTCAAAATAATCATTCCGTATAAATTGGACCGATATTTGTCGACGACCTTTCGGATGCGCTGCGCGTCCGGGTGTCTCGACTTTCGTTCCCGGGGACTACTCCCGTGTAGTCATCACGCTCGCTTCGCTCCCCTCTCTTTTCCATCGCCAAACAAACTCCTCTTTGCCTTGGGGGATCATCAGGCGAAGTGAAGGCACCCTTCTGGCCATGGTAACCCGAGCTGGTGTTTTCAAATATCCCATCACAGGAAGCTGTTAACGTGATAATATCTCGGGCTAAAAGGTACGGCATTGCACGAGGAATGAGGCTGGACCGTACGCATCATACAGCCAATGTTTATCTAATGTTTCCCTTGCCGCGAGTGTAGTTTCATAATTCCCCCCCCCCTTTTCCATCTCTTGTGCTTGCGCTTCCATCATAAGTTGACAAAACTAAACCAATTTTGAGGGGTTCGCTGTCTGATTCCGTCGCTGGTTCTCTCGACGCCCTCGGCAGTTTATTATGGCAACGTGTTCTCTTTTTTTTAACTCAGGGTGTGGGGTTTTGGAACCAGAACTTCAGGTAAGTTTCAGGGAATTGAAACCATTTCAAAGTTTTGCTTGGCGTCCGTGAGTGCGAACTCACAAAATTGTACTTTGAATTGGCTCATGTTCTACAAAAGTAGCAGTGTTTAACATCATTTAATGCAGTCGTTTTTTTACATTAGAGATACTGCTACAATCTGTGTAGCCACCATTTCTGCAGTAGGCAGACGTCCAAAGATACAACACTTGATTGCGGATATATTCACGTAAAATTTTCCATAATGATATCGCTTATAATAATCGAATATGTTTGTGGTCTTGTTGCCACCTTGCATGATCTTCCACACCACCTGAAGCGAGGTGGTGTCTCCAAAATGTATTTTCCATGCCAGAGCTTGTCAACTTCCTCCAGGTGTTCAGTTCCGTTTCTGCATGGTTGGAACGATGACAGTTGATAACAAAGGCATATGGGAGCCATTTAACCACATCTGCGATATTTGTTGGTATTTTCCTTTTTTAAATTGTTTTCTGTGTATTAATTGCTTTATTCTGCTATAATTTGGGGTTTTACTTTCTGTTTTACTGCACGCGCTGACGTGACGTGTAGGCCTCGGGGTTTGAACTTCTCTTGAAAAGAGGAGTTTGTTTAACTCTCGTTATGGGACATATCTTTCGCTTTTTTGCATGAAACAATCTACGGCCGATGGGCTTGAATACTCGTGATTAATCATGCTTATTGATTTCACACAGACGGTAAGTATGCTCTTTATGCATATAAATTCGATTGTTTGTTAAAAACGACAACACGTTTAGGCTGGAAGTACAGTACGCTTTCATTTTGTCATCACTAATAGGTCAACACCAGACTTCGTTGAAGCGAGAGAGTGCCGTAGCTTCTACCCACGTAGATATATAAATAAGCCATTATATAAGCCATTTAGTACAATTACTGTGGTCCAACTTTCTCGTCTTTGGTGTACCAAAGTTTGTAACCCCGGCTGCTATTATTATGGTACGGTGTGAGGAAAGTCCGGGACTTGAAGGAGAATCTGATGTGCTTTCAGTAGACGTATCTCATTCAATAAACGCAAAGAATTGAAAGGTCCCAATCCACAACTTGAGTTCTTAGTACTCCTCATGATATGTATCACTCCAGTGAAATGACCATGAGGTTTGAGACTGTATGTCTTCTTGGAAAAATGAACTTGTTATCAGTTTATGTTAGTGGAATTCTTTTTTTCTAATTCATTCTGAAATTATAAAGAACACTTGAGGAAACCGAACGACTTCATTCGATATTCCCTCACCAGTTTCACGGGCAATAGATTATCGTCGACACTGTCCTTTCATTTCAACTCTCATTTCAACGTGCCTGTCGTTTGGTCACTCACCACCCGGTCATCCGTGCCGGTTGACCGGGGGCCGGCCAACCACCGGCACGTGTGCGTTGTCCTAAGCCTTGGATGAAAGCCTCAGAAGGAAAAAAAGGAACGAACCACCCGGTAGTTTGATGGACAAAGGATAGTGTCCACACAAGTGGTGTCAGTAACAAGCGGTCAGAAGCTGGATGGAGAGTGCAATATCGTAACCATGGAGGAGGGCATGTACCTCCACCCAGCTTGAAATTTTGAAAAAGCTGCAGTTCATCAGCTTTCAATACCCCTGAAAAATGTGTACACCCCAGGCGTCATGGTGATGTTAGAAATTTCACCCTAATACGGTCAATTCACAATAGTGCGCCTCCAAGAGTCTGCAACGCGTCGACCAATCACAGTGCGCGAAATCTGTCGACCCTTTCCAAACGCGCATTGGGTCGACAGATTTGGCGTACTGTGATTGGTCAACGCGTTGCAAAATCTTGGAGGCTCACTATTATGAATCGCCCGTATTTCAATTGTCGCCGTTCAATGGACGCACAGTCATGAGGTCCTGCTTAGAGCCTCTTGCTCTTGCCACAATTCTGCTAGCGTTACACACTTTCAAGCTACATGTATGCAGGCCTACATGTCACATAATTGGTATGCTTGGGCTCGTTGCATGACCATTATGTTACGACAGGCACGCCACCATTTTAGTGGCAAGGTTGGATACTATACAACACCCCACAGGCATTCGTGCAGGTTGGAATAAGTGGCAGGTTATTGATAAAACGCTGAAACATCACATCAAGTGGCGAAATGTAATGTAGCAAATCTGGCCTCACTGATTAGTACCGACGTCAATTGTGTGACATCAAATACCCTATTGACCATGTAGTGACGGAGCATGACAGGTTGACGCTGCCTTATGACAGCTAGTGACCTGCGCTGTAGACCACACAGGTCACGCAGCCTTCATCTTTCTGGCTGTTGTCAAGTTTCCTGACTTTGCTTTGTGGTGCACAGACCTAGAATATTATAGTCTGCCACTTGGCTTACCTTTTGTCTTTCCATGGATAGGTATGCCTTTTTGCCTCAAACGTGACTTTATCAGAAAGTTGCTAAAGTGTTTGCTCTCTTGCTATGTGCGGATAACAGTTAAAGTGTATGTTCTGTATTGAGTGATTCTGAATACGTGTTTGACTGTGTTTGAACTCGCAGCCCCGAACTAACGGGGAAAAAATGGTTAACACATTTCGCCTGAATTCGTGTTAATTGTGTTTCATCGTCCCAGCAGATTTTTGACTTTGTTCTTGCGATATACGTGCCTGTCGTGCCCCGCAGGCTTGATCAACCGAATAAGGAGCGGGAAATCAACTTATGTGATTTCTGTCCCTTCTCACTTTATCATATATCGACGGAAAAGGGCCCGAGTTGACATTTTAATTTCTGCCTGATTAATGCTGGTGCTCCCCCAGGAACGGTTTTGATGCAAAGCTATACGTGTTTTATCAGGCAGCAGGGCCTACGGAGATTCGTTGCTCGAAGACCAAGCTGCAATCTGTTCGTTGCACCGAGTTCTCGTAATACGAACTCCTATGGTTTCGTCCGTGCCGCGCCGCTTGACATGTTGCCGTGTGATTGATGGCGCGCCGGGCTGCTTCGGAAAGGCAGATTCCCGCGCACAGTCTTGTCTGGAATCAGACCAAAAGAGCGCGGTTACCCGATGCACTGTTTCTGCTGCGCTTCCTCGCAGTTGGACCCTCTTACCCCCGATGTCTTGGGACAGCAACGGCCTCGCCACAAGCTAACCCCTAATCATTAGAGACCGCACAGAAAGTGATTCTATTAATTTCACGAATGGATAAATCCGGGCTCGATACTGTGTCCAGTGCAAATATGGGCTCGGGACTTTGCTTGCGTAAAACCGCTGAAGTGGGGAGAAGGACTAGCCTAGGGGGATTGTAGAGCCCGCTGCTACTGCTGCAAATTTTGGGCGTTATTGTTGGAAGCACAACACTGCAAACTGGTTCGATTATTTCTGAGGTTGGACTTGATGTTAATGACCTCGTATTAAGCAAACAAAAAATGGGGATAATGGACAACGAATCAAACAGATTGGACGAAGAAAAGTGAAAAATATTAATGGTTATTATTTTTAGGAATGGACTGGTTAACTTTCGAGGAAACGAAGCATTTCGGCCGGGGGCTTGAAACGTAGGTCAGTATTATTGCCGGGACAAAACTTTAATCAGATTTGGCTATGCAGTTTGAAACGAGAAGTATGTCGCATTTGACACTTAACCTTTTTAAAAGCAGAGTTTAAATTAGGCCTATATGCCTTTCCAACGTAAGCGTTCTCGAAAGATAATTCTTGTTTAATTCGTGAATTAGGCAAAAAAATATTTAAAAAACCAGTCAACTTCGTCATTAACTTACAAAATGGGAAAGGACAAACAAACAAAAAATCTTCGCCGTGAGGTCTTTAACCGCTTTGAGTATAAAGAATAGGGAACTCGGCATTCTATTTCCATGTTTATCCTCTCTGCTCATCGTCTTATTTAATATGCTTTATCTGTGGCCTGACAGGCTGGTGGAATTTCTCTGAGTGAGAACAAACA